CGGTAGGAGCGATGACGGTGTGTACAAAGGGCAGGGACGTAATCAGCGCAAGCTGATGACGCGCTTACTAGGCATTCCTTGTTCAAGACCGATAATTACAACAGTCTATCCCGTCACGATGAACCACCTTCCCTTCTCTCTCTTCTCCTACTCCTTTCTCCTCCTTCTTCTCTACTTCTTCTTCTTCTTCTTCTTCTTCTTCTTCTTTTCTCCTCTCTCTCTTACTACCTGGTCCCCGCTTCTAGCTGCGCTTTCTTCCTGCTCGCCTTCCCTGCACTGTCCCTCCTCCGTCGTGCAACGCTCCTCCTTTCTGCGTCGTTCGCCCTCGCACCGCCAAGCACTCGTCGTGTTTGCTCGACGAAAGTCAGCCCAAGCGCGCGGGCCAGAATCATGCCCTGTAGCATCGACCTCGGTAAGAATGAATCCCCCCGTGATTTGGTTGCCGATTCAATGACTCGACGAGTCTCGTGAGATACGTGATAATAATAATAAAAAAATAAAACAAATGAAGAATCTAACTAAAACTAATAATTAAAATAAAATAAAACATAATCTAACTATTTACTACCTTAGCCTGCCAAGTGGCGGACCCCCGTTATAACGGCGGCTCAAGTTCCAACTAACATACTTACAGCTACTAACTCCTAATTCGTAGGTCGCGGGTTCGAGTCTCGGCCTACCAAAGGCGGGGTATAAAAAGGTAAGTGTGAGCTCCTTATCAAAAGGAGCTAGCTCAAGTTCAGGCCGGTTGGACTCGATCCCCATATCCCCTGCCTAATAGTCCAACCCAAAACCTGTTGAGCTAGCTCCTTCTTCGTGTTGAAGAGGAGTAGCTTCGGTATATGTGTAGGGGTAGGGCTCGGTCTGCCTAGTGACATGGGCTAGTTTCTAAGTTTGAGGGTGTGCATGCTTGTTGGACTGCACGTCTGCCTGAGTGCTTGTCGGTTTGAGTGTGGGTGTGATCCGCAAGTCTGTGTGTGTGTCCCGCTGGTCTGTGCGCTTGTGCCGTAGGGACACCTGATTGTTTGAGCGGCCTGACACGACGGTTCTTACCTATGGCCGCGGCTTTGAGGGCTGCAGTGAAAACACTCAGGTAGCGGGTCGGCCGGTACTTAGCCGTGGCTGCGATATTGATGCTCGCAGCCGAGGAAACACTCAAGTGGCGGAAAAAGAGGCTCGCGGCGGCGGAAAACACTCAAGTAGCAGGCAGGTCGGTACCTCACTAAGTAGAGGTAGATGCGTCAGGTACTCGACTCGGAGGCCGAGTAGAAGAAGGCAAAGTTGACATTTTTAGAGGCCCAGTACCGGTACGTAGACCGGTACCCGTCCATGCCTCAGCGTGTGTTGTAAATCTACCCGACGTACCATTAACTCAATCAACCCCTCGACCTTTCTGGTCGGAGGGTATTACTGCTGACCCTAACCATTACAGTGCGCGTCATAACAATGCGCGCGTACACTTTTCGAAATTTTCTCACCGATTTGCTCCCGGCCTCACTGGCCGAGGGATTCGTTTCAAGCGTCACGCTCAAGCGTGCACACCTTTTCCATTCCAGACTGGCTCCATCATGGTAGCCGATGCCGCCACCGTGTCGAATGCAAAAGCATGGCCAAATACCCTTGTAAGGGTATTTGGTCCGACAGCGGGGACCTCACAATTCAACCCGACGTAAAATACTGGGGCCAATACCCAGCTTAGGCTATGCTGGAAACCAGAATATTTCGTAAAAAATGATTTTTTTGTCAAAAAGTGAACTATTTCGACTGCGAATAAACACTCAGTACATGGCCCAATAGGGCATCATGCGACACTTTAAATGGTCAGTATATGAGGTGTTGACATGGCAAATGTTGCGGCGGGGTGTTTTGAGCTCTTCATACATGAATAGTCATTATTAAATGCGAATTAACACAGTGTAAAATAGGGCAGGGGCTCTTTGTATGACACCTTGACAATGTTGTCCTGGCTTAGTGGTTCTATGACAGACAGTACACGATTCAAAAGGGCATCGTGTTGGGTATGTGGTGCCTGTTTTCCATAAAAGGTCAGCGGTCCGGCGCCCGACACCTTGCAAGTTGATGGACTGAACCTGTCAACTGTGGTCTGGCGGAACACCCAGCCTGATGCACGATATTTGGCAAGTTGAACCCACAACCCGTCAATACCCCTGACACGAACCCTCAACCCGTCAGTGCCCCTGCAACAATTGTGTCCACCATTTATCTTCCCGAAGGACCTGAGGCTCCTTCTCCGGTTGACAAATAGTAGTTGAACAGTGTCACCGAATGATTCGGGAGTTAGTGGTATTCGACCGAGCTCCTTAAGGAAGTGGCAAACAGTCGTTCGCTGTCGATGCCGATTGCCAATAGCACTGTTAGGGGGCCTTGATGCTGGTTCCTGATCTGTTTGGCGATCGAACAGCTTGAAGAAGTGTGAAAGAGTCATTTGTTGTCTGTGTGGATTGTCATTAGCACTCTTAGGGAAACTTGATGCGAGATCTGATTCCGGGTCGTGTGTGTGTGTGTGTATGTGTGTGTGTGTG